CTGATTACAAAATTAGCCATTTGTTTTGGAGTTGGTTTTAATTTTTAGTGAAATTAATCTATTTCATGCCTTTAGTAGACTATAGGTACCCAGTAGACCTTGTTGTTGCCACTGAAGGTGCATAGGTACTCAGTACTAGAGATGAAACGGATAGTTGGCCCATTGTCTCGTTTCATGTCGTGACGAGTTTAGCGCCGCACAGGTGCTTCGAACACGATCTGTGGGTCTATTAGTAGACAAGACTACTCACACTTTTCGAAAATCGAATCCGTCCGAATAGAATGTCAGATTTTGCCACTTGTCTAGGGGGCAGATCAATTCGGGCGATTTCGGTTGCTATCGTGAGTGTTTGATTGAATAGCGAAAATTAAATTAGTTTACTTGCTGCGTAATTTGACTGAACTCCATGCATCATGTCATCAGACCATCAGTGAAAAAATCGCCTTTTTTATTTGGCAATATTTCGACATTAACAGATTTTTATTATTTATGTATTCGTCATTAGAGTGTATAGCACAGAAAAAGAAATTAGTTTTTTGAAAGGCCTTAATATTATGGCTTTTTTGTAACTTTTTGGACTTTAAATAAAAGCCGTTATTATTATAAACCGTTTTATTGATATTTACCTAATGTATTTCATTTTATTAATAGGAAATTGTCGTAGTTTTATTAATATCCGGTATCCGGCCGGATAGTGAGTTACTATCCGGTATCCGGCCGGATAGTAAATTTAGGCCGGATATAGTATTACAGTATTATATTGAGTTGAAATGTCGCGTGACGTCACATTTGAGTAAAAATTCTACTCAAGCGTGGCGTATCGCGCCATTTCAACTCGATGTAGCACTGTTATTATTTAATTATGAAAGAAAATAAATAATAACTAATATTTTCTAATTATCTGTCTGGCGGACAAATAATTGAAATTTTGTCATCTAGCCTAGTTGTCGTCAGGAAGTTGGTCTAACTAATTCAGCTTGCAACTAATTCAGCTTGCAAGATTCCACCCGAACAAACATTTATGTAATTACCTACATACATCATAAATTGCAAGCTAAATAAAAGCTTGTAATAAAGTCGGGTTTGTTCAAATTTCGAGAACGACTGAACCGACAAAAGCATTAGAAAATTTACGAAAAATAAAATAAAATTTTATCCCGTACAAAATGTTCATGGATTTTGTTATTTTTATTAAATACCTTTACGCCTGAGTTAAATGACACCGACATCAAGGTTCATCAATTTAAGTTTAAAATAATAGGCAGTAATGTATGAAGAAAGAGCTTCTATTCTGTATCTACCTATGCCCGTGTATTTTTGATCGGTGTCAAATCGGAGTTTTTGGTGCGGGGTACGCGGGTGTTGCTCGCGGCGTGAAGGTCAAACGCCCAAGGTCATTGAGGACTCTAATCGCCTTAATTGATAAATAGGGTTATCTGCTGTGGCATTAAGACCACACTCGTCACCTGTCGTGCCAGATGCGTCGCAGCTCGAGCAGCACAGGGTTGCCCTGGTAGAAGCGGTAGTGCAGCGAATGGCGCGCGCGCACAGCGTCCGCGTGCCACGCTACGGGCGCGCGCACGCATAGTGCCGGCCACAGAGTTGGTAAGAACGCAATGCGGAGGCGCTCGCATTCGGCTGGGTCCTCCAGGATGTAAGATAGCAGGCACCTGTGATTAGGAAAGCGATGAGTCCATAGAGCTCGATGCCAATATCTTTGTGAACGCGATGCGGAGGCGCTCGCACTCTGCAGTACCATACAGGGCGTAGAATAAATAAAATAAAATAAATATCCTTGGACATTTGACACTGCGCTTTTAGACCCAAACTAAGTAAATCTTGTACTACTATGGGTACTAGACAACGTGTATAAACATACTTAAATACTTTTTTTGTAAATCCATACTTGCCCCCTTACTAATAAAACTTACACGCTCGTTGAACAGTGTTTTAAAGTGACATTTAGTATGGATATGCCATTTTAAAACAATGTTCAACAACTGTGTAACTTTTTATTAGTAAGGGGGTTATTATACATAGAAAACATCCAGTCCAATACAAACAAATATGCAAACAAACGTTTGTACTGTGCGGGAATCGAACCCGCTACCTCCGGAATAGTAGTCTGTTTCGAACCACTACACCAAACGGCCGAATGTTGACTTGGCTGAGTCACATCTTTTTGAATGCGATACTGAGGCACGCACACTCTTTGGGGTCCTACAAGATGTAAGATAACAGACAACTGGTAATAAGCCTCGCACTCTGCGGGGTCTTCCAGAATGTAGGATAGCAGGCATCTGGGAATATTGACTTGGGTACGACTGAATCACATCTTTGTGAATGCGATACTAAGGCACGCACATGGCGCGGAGCCAATAGCTTTGTGAGCATTTACGGATGACGGCCTATCACTGGCATCTTAGAGCCTTGTGAATATTACACAGGAAAATCGAACTGGTCTGCAGGAAAAAGCGTTTGTCGTCGGCGCGTTTCAAAAATGTAATACGTGAAAATTATGGATTTAACTGACACCAAGTCAAAGCGGATAGAAGTTAAGCATATGGCGAACGAGACAAACCGGTTACATGCATTATCACAGGACGAAGCGACGCGACTGGCCCAAAAGCAAAGGAAAAGAAACCTAAAGAAAAGTATAGCAATCTTTTGAGAAGAGTACAATCTGATCACACTCTTTACTAAGCAAGTGACTAATATATACATAAGTCTGCAAAACATTACAGCCACTATAGCAACACGCACCTCTTCATAGCCATCAGAAAGAACTCCTTAATATCAGCTTCGCTTTGCCGCACGCAGGCCTGGTACGTCAGGATGAGGAGGCGCTTCTTGATGGCCGCCGTCTGCTTGTCCACTTCCACCTTCGCTCGCTTGTACAGGTGCTGAGGGTATTCTGGCAAGTGCTTGCCGACCAGGGCCTAAAATATAAATACCGATATTGACATATTGACAGTTTTAAGCCAGATCATCATCATTTCAGCCTGAACTCAGACTCAGACTTACTCCTGCCGCCACTTTTCGCCACCGATCTACCCGACAGCACTACCACCCCCATCACTTAGATGGTCGGCAGTCCACAACAGTACGTTTCTCTAGAAACTTCCTGCCCCGTACAACCAAACTGTGGAATGGACTGTCGTCTGCGGTGTTTCCGGACGGATACGACCTGCAAGCTTTCAAGAGGAGAGCGTATCTTCACCTTAAAGGCCGGCAACGCACCTGTAACGCCCCTGGGTCTGCGGGTGTCTATGGGCGACGGTAATCACTTACCATCAGGTGATCCGTCTGCTCGTTTGCCTCCTGTCACATAAAAAAAAAGCCATAGGACGTCCACTGCTGAACATAGGCCTCCCCCAATGCTTTTCATGTTAATCGATTGGTAGCGGCTTGCGTCCAGCGCTTCCCTGCTACCTTTACGATGTCGACGGTCCACCTTGTAGGTGGACGTCCCACGCTGCGTTTTCCGGTACGCAGCCTCCATTCCAGAACCTTGCTGCCCCATCGGCCGTCAGTCCGTTAAGCCAGATGGTGATAAACAAAAGCACACTTTATTTATTGGAATTTAAGTGCTTGTCGGTCGATAAATTAGACTATCGATTCAGAGTTTCTGGATTCAATTCTTAGATGCACATAAAAATGCGACTGTCCGGAGAAGTCAAAGAAGTAAGTCAAAGTCAACAAATTGATTTATGGGTCTTAAAATTAATAAATCCTAGAGCACCCGAAATAACGAACAGGCTTCCCACTGAAAACTGAAAATAGTAGAGAGACGGCGCACATACAGTTTATTTTTTCATTTCAGCTATATCTGTAGTTATACTACTCCGTTTGTTTTTCAATCGAGTAAAAAATATCTTTACCACCTGTGAAAAAAATGCGTATTAAAAGCAAATTCAATAGTGTTGTGTATACCGTCGTCAGATAATATTGTATCCTCTCCAAGTCCTTAGGGTGGATGTATCTGTAGTGCTCCTCCTCCGTGGTCTTCAGCATTTCTTCTTTTTGTTGGTCGGGGTCTCTCGGTAACTCAAACTCCAGCTTGGCTAAATGTCTGCAACCAGATAATAGCTGATTGATTATTATTGGTAAGCGCACCATCTGCCCCTATAAAAAAATCAAGTCAATAAATCACCCTACCAGCGCGCTGCGTGCTTTGAAAAACTTTAGTAAATGCTGAAAAGAAGCGTCGAAGAAAATTATTTTAATAATAATTAAATATCCAAGGATATTTTTATACTACGCCTTTAGCCCCAAACTAAGCAAAGCTTGTACTACGGGTACTTGATGACGGAATTGTTTCAATTATTTGTTTTACCAGTTTTACTCGGATTCGTTAGATAAATATAATTTTATTTAAAACATTTCATCTTATAAGCAAGAAAAAAATGATTTCATGCCTCACACGGCTATCAAGCATTAGAAACGAATTTACGAAAAACATTGTCGTAGTAGGCGTAGCGACGAGAAAGTCATCTTTTGGTTACAAAATGAAAAATTATGTCGTACTACCTATTTGACTTTTTTCAAAAAGGAGGCTACAGGGCAAACTCTTAACCCGATTGTCTGTTTTAATTGACCAATTTCTCCAATTGTAGTTGACTAAATTTTCCAGGGGAGTTATTCTCAAATTTTTGATAACATTCTTAGTTTCCAAAATATCCAAAAAAAGAAGACTTTTTTTCTCTATTGCGGCTATAACTTTTTCATTTTTAACTTTCTAGAATAATTATTTTTGCACCTTACAGCTCTCGTAAATACGCGTCTTTTGAGTCTTTTTTTAATATTATATCTTCACAACTCGTCGAGATTTAAGGGACCGCACTGCATTTTATTTAAAACGACGAGTATTATGTATTTTGAGTTTTCAATGTCTTAAAACCTGAATACAAGCAAAAAAATAATGTGTAAACCTGTGTACAAAATTGAAATAAAAAAAATAGGAAATTCTAAAGAAATATTGGCGAAAAGAAACGGCATGTAGCTTGAATTGGGTCTAGTACGAGTACCTAGAGGAATCCAAAACTAGCTACATATGCCGTTTGCCTAGCAGAGCGTGGTTTCGATCCACGGACCTCTGGGTTATGGGCCCAGCACGCTTCCACTGCGCCACTCTGCTCTTATAGGGGCGGGTGAATAACTTCACTACTTTCGGCGAAAACGTTATGTGAAACCTTCATGGGAATGCAATTTTGATAGAAAAAGGCTATATTATGTTCTTTGTAAAGGCAATAAATTGTGTTTTGTAATTGTTACCTGTGAAAAAAATGAAAAATAGGATTTTCGGACATCTGATCACTAGATTATGTCCTTTCCACGATGAAACTCCGGACGTTCCTTTTTGGTATCGAGTCTGGATTTGTTACTTTTGTCTTTACGAGGGCTTTTACATTATGTGGACTAAAAGCTTTTTTATGTCCAATATTAAAATGGTTGTTTGTTTCCCAAATGCACCTAAGTAAAATATTTACTTTTTCAATGCTATTTCAGCTGCGATTTCTGCCTCTGCTTTCTCCTGCCGTCTCTTCTCGATTCTTCTGCGTTTCGCGTCTGCCTCGGCCGCCTTTTTCCGATCGTATGCTCCAGAAACCAAATCTTCTAGAAGCACCAACCCTAGGCAAAATTAAAACGTCTAGCATGATGACTGGCACTACAAAAATTTATATACTCTATATATATAAAAGAAAGTCGTGTTAGTTACTCCACTTATAACTCAAGAACGGCTGAACCGATTTAGCTGAAAATTGTCAGGGAGGTAGTTTAGAGCCAGGAGAAGGACATAGGATACTTTTTATCCCGTTCGAAATAAAAAAAAAAGTCTGCTTATTTATTGCCATTAAGGCGGAACAACGTTCGCCGGGTCAGCTACTAGTTTATTATAAAAGAACAGATAAAAACAGCAATATAAAAATAACCTTATTTATTAGTAAATTTAGAATACATAGATATCAAATATGCCTCGCGAGTCCATGCGTCCGGTGTGGACGCGGCTCTAGACGTGACGTCATTAACAGTGACGTCGTCGTCGGAGAGAAAATCAATAAATGTGATTTTAGAATTGTGACATCTCGGGAACATTACCTGAGGGAGATGATAGAGTTTATTCAAAATCGAGTCTTCTGTAAATCTTGAAATCTGATTACTTGTTATGTACTACAGCAAAATGCTGGTAGTGTACGGAGGTTTATTATTTAAAGCAGTGGCTCCCAACCTTTTCTGGAATAGGGACTGTCTGGAACTTTGTTGTTACGTAGTTGTTCGCGGGGACCTTGACGTACGAGAAAAATATACTAATTCACTCTTAACTCAAAAACTGTATGAAAAATAAAATACAGAAGATCTTCTGTAATTCAGGACTAAACTTATAACTTTCAGCCAATTACGATGTGCAGCGATTGCCCACTAAGAAATCGTTCGTGGGCCATATTTTGGCTCCTGCGGACCACCGGTCCGCGGTGCCGGTGGTCTGTGGACAATAAGTTGGGAAACCCTGATTTAAAGACATAAATATGCTGGTGGGTGCATCCACGCAGCGTATCGGTACACAGCAGTCTTAGATGATGCAGTTAACTGGATTGATAACAGAGCACTTTAGTCCTTGCGCTGAGACAATGTTTTCTGCAGCTTGTTATTCTCCTTCTCCCTCTGGGCAGCTTCCCGCTTCTCTTCACTTCATCATAGGGAACTGCATTTCTCCGTTGAGGCCTATATGGCCTTACAATACCGGTGGCACGAGTCTCTTGAGCTTCTAGATGTAGCACTGAGGCTGACCTTACCTTTCTGCAGCTTGTTTTTCTCTTTCTCCCTCAGGGCAGCTTCTTGCTTCTCCTTTTCGCGTTCGACCCAGGACTTGAGTGGCGGGAACTGCATCTCTCCGTTGGGGCCTATAGGGCCGTACAGTACCGGCGGCACTCGCTTCTTTGGAGGCATGTTGAGCACTCGCATTGCTTTCGTAGCGGGTGTGTGGCAGTTTCCTGAGGATATAAGATGCTTCTAATACTTTGGACTGCATTACAAAATAACGCTTAAGAGCGTTTACGCCGTTTGGCGCAAAAACAGTACTTTTTCAACCCGTTACCATCATTAACCAGTTACATTACAAATATGTTATAGGCATAAATAATTAGGCAATTTCGTCGTCTAAATAGTTAGTTGAGAAAATATTTCGATTAGTATAGTATTTAAGAATTCTATCAAGATAAGTCCACACAGGTTTTTAAATTTCTACTTTAGCGTCAGTTTACAAGCTGAAATTTATATAAAAATACTGTGAAAACGATATAACAAATATTTATATCATATAGCATATGTCCTTAAGCAAATAGTTGAGAAAATTCTTAGATTTAAGCATTTTACAATAAGAAATCACAAATTCAAAGAACGTGAAATACCCAAAAATCAAAGTGATTTTAACACCATTATTCTTTTTTAATTCAACATAAAAATAGCTTAATAAAATAACATCTTCTTTAAAATATTTACTTTGAAATGATATATTATAATTCATTGTTATTGTTTTGCTATAAACATTTAAAGACTATTAAAAAACGCCGCGCGCGAATCATTTCCAATGATGCCCCTTGAAACGCCGCGCTTCGCGTTTAGCTCTTAAACTCTATTCAATTTATGTCATAGATCTGCCATTTTTTTATGGGACTGGAGGCAAACGAGCTAACGGGTGGTTGCTCTAAATATTGAAACCAAAAGCCTTAATCTGACTTAATTCATAGCCATAGCACAACGGTGAAGTAAATGGGAATTCTTACTAACCGATTGAGTCCACCGGCTTCGAGTGATCGTAACTGTCGCGATACGGCACTCCTCGCGTCCAGGACTTCCGCTGCATCAGAGGCGGGAACTCGCTGCAGCCGCCATCACCCTCCCCTGAAATAGTCCAGTACATTCGCTTGCGTACTACGTGGTTATCTAAGTACACCCACTCTATTAGGAGTGACCAATTAAGCATATTTAATGTTTAATGTTGGATAGTCATAATTGGCCTACAAAATCTGCTAAAAAACATTGTTATTACAGATTGATATTGTGCTGTGTACTATCCTTAAATAAATAAAATAAATATTTTATCTTCAGATTATTTTCTTTGTACGATAAAATCAGGCTACTATCCTGGCTGCCGGCATCGGCCGGTTGGAGTTATCAAGCTAGCGCAGCTACACACGATTTACATAAGTGGGCTTAAAAGGTAGATAAATTGTATAACAAGGATCTTATGCCCGTTTTCACTATCAATCCCTAATTTTTTAGTGACTTCTATGATAACACTTAACAGGAATTTTGTTTTCATAGGGGTCACTTAAAAATTAGGGATTGATGGTTAAAACGGGCATTAGTGTTTTGAATAAAATCATTGAAAAGATAGAAGGGCGAAAGCACTCTTAGGCCTCAGCCTCGAACTTAGCGGGCAGCGGGGCGGGAGCGGCGGCGGCGCTGGAGCGGGGCGGGCAACGCAGACCCGTTCTCGAAACAAGCGGGCAGCTCGCGCGGCGCTTTAGCGGCGAAGTGTTGTGTTCGGGGTTGTGTTTTCGAGATATTTGTTTTTATTCGCAAACGAAATGTCTGAACAACGGCGACAATTTTATTTTGATTCAAATTTATTCCTAACGCTCGATTTATTGTGGGCAAAAGAAGGAGTGCGCTGCCCGCTCGTTGCCCGCTCCCTCGCCGCTGCCCGCTCGTTGCCCGCTGCCGCCCCGCTGCCGCGCCGCTGTTTTCAAGAACCGGTCTATTTGATTTTACGCATAAGATCCCGCCGCCTCGCTGCCCGCTAAGTTCGAGGCTGAGGCCTTAAGGAGAGGCTTACATCTAGCAAGGAACTGCCATTGGTTGACATAATGAAAACGAAAGTTACAGCCACCTTCAGGGTAATAATTCCTCGTAGCCCTTAACATCTCGCTGTCCCTATCCAACTCGTGGTCGTAGCCAGCTCGTCGCACCACCGGCACCGGCGGCTGCCGGCGCGGGCCCCCCGTGAACCGCGGCGGGCAAGGCGCCGCGCCGCTTGTGTCCACAGCGCGCCCGCCGCGCGGACGCTTACGGGCTCCGCTCGACATTTTATACTGTAATAAAGTAATGGCAGATGGAAATACGTACAGGTGACGCCAGACGCAGTTAGAGTTAGTCTTAGAGAGCTACCATATTGAGCAACGATCAAATCATTAATAGCAGACCGAAATACACACAGGTGACGCCAGGCTCAGTCGTCAGAGTCTCAGAGAGCTACCATATTGAGCAACGATCAATTCATCATCGGGTTATTTCAGGATATTTCCAGTGTAGGTAAATTAATCTCTCCGGTAGACCCGCTGGGATGCTTGCGGGCTCCGCTTGACATTCACTTTGTAATATCGAAATAGGTAGGCGTCGGGGCAATGTTCTGCCACATCATCATCATCATCATTTCAGCCACAGGACGTCCACTGCTGAACATAGGCCTCCCCCAATGCTTTCCATGTTGATCGATTGGTAGCGGCCTGCGTCCAGCGCTTCCCTGCTACCTTGACGTCCCACGCTGCTTTTTCCGGTACGCGGCCTCCATTCCAGAACCTTTCTGCCCCATCGGCCGTCAGTTCTGCGTACTATGTGCCCTGCCCATTGCCACTTCAGCTTGCTAATACGTCGGGCTATGTCAGCGACTTTGGTTCGTTTACGGATCTCCTCATTTCTGATTCGATCTCGCAAAGAAACACCAAGCATGTTGTGCCACAGAGTCACCATAACAAGCAACGATCAAATCATCGGGTCATTTCAGAATTTCCCCAGTATACGCCCCTTTTTAGTGGATGATGAGGCTGATGTTAGAATATTCCGCTCTCAGTCGCTTCTTTCATGAGAAGGATGGAACGATGAAATAAATGCCTTAAAAATACCTATACTTTCGACAAATCGTTAAGAATCGAAACTTATTTAGAGCTTACGAACTATTTACGAATAGTGATTACATGTCATAATTATTGTTTGCGAAGAGAGTGTTTGGTCGATCCTCGTGGCCAATCGCCGATTCTACAAAAAGTAGTTGGTAGTGAGTACCATTCTTACTTACCCTTACTTATAGGATTTAGGATATTCCAGTAGTAATTGTGATAACATAATAATTCTGTTTGATGATAAAGATACTATACCGAGTCATTCATAAAAATACATGTTTATAGATTTGAGACCACCTTCACCAACTTACACAAAGTATAAACTGAAAAATAGCACAGTACCTTTCAAATAATATCCTAATTGAAACAGATCCTTATTTTTTACATAATTTGGCAACGCAACACTTGTTGGATGATATTGACGTAAATGAAACGTCGTCATGACGCCGAGACGCCGTCGCCATAGCAACGTAATTTTTAAGAACGCAAATGACAACAGCCAGTAGGTTAAAGCCAATACCAATAAGGTCTGAATAAACTACAATAGCTAAATATTTGTGCACCCTTTTAGGGGCGCCACAAACTTCATTTCTACTTCGCAAGTTTGCAATCGCAAAGAGTAGAAGTGCTTAACTGAGTCAATTAGTACCAAATAAATATTTTTTCTTTCTTATTTTCTTTCTTTCAATGCCTGAGATATGGGAACGGCTCGAGAGGGAGTTTTTGAGACGTCAAATGTCAGCGAGACTTCACATGTCTTTATTTTTTGTATGCTCTATCACGCCTTAACATGTTAACAATGTGCGTTCCCTTCGAGAGGCCACTGTGGAAAACGAAGGATTCGTATACATAAAGATTTAGCAGAACTTAGATGTAAGTTGGACGCTACAACTCGCCGAATATGGTCCCTCAGATGAACGGCGTCAAATACCAAATTACTGAATCTGACCAAATAAGATGATTTTGATGAGTGGTAATATACCCGTACCCCTGTCATACTTCGGGTATTGACTGTTAAAAGCTAGACCTATAGAAACAATGGATATTTTTCGAGTCTACGATAAATAAAGAAACACATTTTTATTTCCAATAATTGTTTTATTTATTCTACAGTACAAGCAATACTTACATAATAAATTAAAAATGTTAGTATCAAATACCATACGCCATACGCTTTTCGAAAATTTTTATTTTAAACAGTTTTGTAAATTTTATAAAAACTATCACTAAAAATGCACAGAATACTGTTTTGTGACATAAAGTAAAATAATGGTAAATAATAGCACCAAAGTTTTTTTAGCACAACCCTCGGGCCCAGAGCAACATGATACAACTCTGCCCTCACTTTACGATATACTTACAATAAATTATGATTATTTTTAAGTCCTAAATTATGCCTATACATAGTTACATTTGGCAAGGAAAGAGCAATGTATGTTGAAACTACGATTAACAGTATAAAAGGAGTATCTAATTGAAACAATGTATAAACTCAGACACCTGCACAGTTCTACACAAATCTCATGTTTTGCGTTAACACTTATTATTTGATAATCCATCGAAAATAACATTACAAATTCTACAAATAAATAATTTTAATTTCATTTCAAAACTCATTAGGATAGGAACTAAAGCAACCAGCACTGGAAGACATTTTGTATCATTACGGATACTGAAATGAGTTTTAAGGTAAAATATACTGATAATGCAGAAAACTATTACTATTTATTTATACATCGTCTAGTATATGACGTAAAACCCCATCTTTGAATTATCATTTCAGTATTCATATGAAACTGGCTTTAATAAAAACCTAATAAAAAGCATAATTAAGAACCGAAATATACATAGGAAACCAAGTTTAGGTTCAAATATGAATCTGAGCAACAGGATCATGGTTATTTCATATTTGTTACACTAGAAATTTCATAAAAATCATAAAGTTAATACAAAAGCCTCGTAGTCCTAGAGCATACTAACTTAAAATAACTCCTTGTCATCGTAAGCTCTTCAATTTCATACAAAAGTTCATCGTATATTACATAGTATCTTCACCTGAAGTATAAAAGTAGTACCTAAATCTATATATTTTTGCAAGAATCCATCACGAGGAAGGAAAATAAATGGGAAAATCCCATTTAGAAAGCGTATTATAAGGAACTTAAATCAGCCGGCGATTGAGTCCGCTAGTCCGACACCTCCACCGTTCGACCGTTGACGATTTTAATAGTTAGATTTGGTAGCTAGAACCAGAATTGTTACAGCCACTTGTTTTCCAACCAGCGGCTTTGACTTGGTGCAAGCAGTTGCTTGATCCCTGCCAGCTAAATGAACTGTCCGTGTGAGGGAAACGGGAACGTCACGGGAAAGAGTGCGACAATCGGGACGCGTCCAGTTGGTAGCCCGCGAATAAATAATATCTGAGGTTTCTATTACTACACAAAATATACAGGAGAGCGGCGTTTCGAAATTTCATAAAAAATACTTCGATTGGTTGGCAGTATCAGAGTAAATACAAATGAGTGACCGCGCTCGGTGCGTTTCTATGAAGATGACCTATCTTCATAGAAACGCACCGAGCGCGGTTTGTATGTGAGCACGCCAATACGTATGCGGTGCGCACGCACACACTGACAAAATTTAGCGTGGATTAGCGGGGAGGTGCGCCGAACGTATTGGCGCGCTCACATACAAACCGCGCTCGGTGCGTTTTCATGAAGATGACCTACTCATTTGTATTTACTCTGGCAGTATCAACTGCCGCATTCTAAGTTTCTAACCCAGAAGGATTACAGCCACTTGTTCCCAGCGGCTTCGCCTTGGTGAAGGCAGTTGCTTCAGCCCTGCCAGCTAAACGAACTATCGGTGTCTCCATCATCCCTCGGCGCCTGCGAGCGCGGCCTATCCGGGAAAGAGTGCGACAATCGGGACGCATCCAGTTGGTAACCCGCGTTAGAAAGCTAGCAGACTTCGTCCAGCAACAATCGTGAAGTATCTAGTTGGTAGCCGCGAATAAATAACGTTACAGGTTTCTATTACTACACAAAATATATCAGAGCGTTTTGAAAATTCATAAAAAATATGTCGCTTGGTAAAGCCTGGTCCGTGAGCACGTAGAATCACGTCCAATGACCCCAAGCTGCCCATCCTTGTCACTCGCACGTAATTATGTTGCTGTCGCGCTTACACACTCACTGCGGGCGCGCGTCGCACAGTCGCGACAGCAATATAATTACGCGCGAGCGATAAGGATGGGTAACTTGGGGTCATTGGACGGGATTCTACGTGCTCACGGACCAGGCTTTAGTTAGAATTACTTAGAATCATAAGGATTACAGCCACTTGTTCCCAGCGGCTTCGCCTTGGTGCAAGCAGTTGCTTGAGCCCTGCCAACTAAAGGAACTATCGGTGTCTCCATCATCCCTCGGCGCCTGCGAGCGCGGCCTATCCGGGAAAGAGTGCGACAATCGGGACGCATCCAGCTGGTAACCCGCGTTGGAAGGCTTGCGGACTTCGTTCAGGTACTTCCACGTGTGACTGTCTGGACCCTCGGTTGGACTCTTCGGACTGTAGAGCCATTCTGAAATTAAAAAGAGATGTAGTGTGGTGAATTTAAGGAAGCACCCAATCAGTATGCGTAGATATGCACGTGCGTTTCTCAATTGTTTTCTTACTACCTTTAGCCACGTGTTCGTCAATGAGGGTTTTCGCGTATGAAAGATCCGCTAGATGGCGGGACGTGGATGTGGGGTCTGACTGCTGCGTGATTGGTGGATTTTGACATATCTGTCAATGTCATGTCAAAAATAACCAATCATGCAGCATTTGGACCTCGCGTCTACGTATTTGCTATCTGGCGGATTTTTCATACGCGAAAACCCTCATTCGTAGGTACGCACGTGCACGTATACGTATACGGATTTGGTATGTTTTATCTTTAAGCTATCCACTACAAACTATCACTACTAAGTTCTAGTACCACTACAGTAAATATACTTTTGGTAATAAGATGAAATTCAAGAAATAATACAATTACTATAAAATAAAAGTAATAAATACTAATCTAATACTTATTCTGTTTCATACATACAACAGAAACGAAACACTCAAAATTAAGTTCAATCGAAACTATGAAACTCGGCAGCAATGTATTATTTCGAGAAACTTCATCTTAAACTAATAGTCAATTATTATACTAATATCTACTCGGTAATTCTATATTCTAAGCTACATAATAAATAAATAATATCTTCACCTAAGTATAAAAGTGTGTGTGTACAGGCAGCATCAAATAGTATAATGCTCAACGTAGCCAAAAAATTTGCAACACGTATTTGTTACAAGTATTGTCTGTCAACTTTTTACTTAAGATGTCACGAACTGTTTGACGCTGACTGTACTACATTAAAAAAGCGTACATAAAAGTTGTTATTATTTTTACGTTAAGGTTTTGATGAGAATGCAGAAATGTTATTATTTATGTAAAATTCGTATCATTTCAATCGAACATACAAATCTACTATATAAAAATAAGTCGGGTTTTCCTCCCTGACGCTATAACTCCAGAACGCACGAACCGATTTCCACGGTTTTGCATTCGTTGGAAAGGTCTCAGGCTCCGTGAGGTTTATAGCAAAGAAAATTCAGGAAAATTTTCAACAGAAAAGCGGGAAGGGGGTAAAACGGGATCCACGCGTACGAAGTCGCGGGCGGCCGCTAGTTGAGTATAAATATTACAAAAAATAACATTGAGAAAGAAAATAAATAAATATTTAAAATAAAATAAAAAAAAAGTAAAAAAAAAACACTTATCGGCTTGTTAGTCACGGGCAGCAGACAATGGAAAGCACTGACTAACACATTGAAAAATTCCTCGCATCCTTATTTTTTAATTTTGTGTTAAAAGGATGAAGCTTGATGTAAAATACTGGACTTGTTGATTAAAAGCCCTTTTTTCGGTTCGGGGATTTCATAAACTCTTGTGTGGACGCAATCTTTTAGATATAAAGTGCAACTAGGCAGTTTACGTTAGACATGTATTCGATTATAACCTTTAAAAAAACTTCATAAGACGTGGAATACATGGATCAAAAATGTCTCTCAGATATTTTCCGCAACAAGTTGTTTTATTTGCTCCTAGAGCATGGATGCCGAATTATCACACAAAAATAGAATGAACACAACAAAAAAAATAAACGCATGTCATGTTCTCAGACATTTGTTTTTAATAAAATAACAGAACCAGAACAAAAAAGATGATGAAATGAAAATTTCAAAACAAAAAGAACATAATTTTGTGTTAGGCAAGTGAAAAATACTCAGAACTTACAAATATTTGTGATACATGTCAAAGCGAATGTATTGTCCAACTACAACGAACCGTCCCATCAGTGACATTGACAAGGGGCGCCACCGTCAATACCGGATCGCTGGTTCCGATTTTTGCCATGTTGGAAACTTTATAGTTGATGGCGCCTCCTTGTCAATGAGTTTGGTGGGACAGTTCAGTGTAGGTCATCATTACTCGTATCTATGATACATGTCAAAGCGAATGCAAAATATTTTTCCATGTACTGAGTATAGACTGACTGACCTCCAATTTCCGTGCTTTTAAGCGATTTTGTGAAAAATATTATTGGCAGGTAGTTGCTAATTGCTCATAAGATAGGCCCCCTTAATTAAATTTATTGTCCGTGGTGCATAATCTTTTTCTTAAAGGTTCTAAACCTTTGTTTGTCACCTGTCATCCGCTTTGCAATGGAGGGAAGTCGAACCTTAATTTCGAACTCCTCTTATGTTCTTCTGATTAATTTCGTTGCAGGTCCAATGACAGTTTAACTTTCCCCGGGACAAACTTGACCTTCATTGGTTGGGTTTTTGTGGCGGTCAAGCTGTAGATCCTGGCTACACAGGAGTTGCAGTGGTGGGAACGAGAGGTGGGAATAGTCCCTATTTGACTGACCTCCATTAGACACCTTGGTGATGGCGTGCAGCAGGAACTCCTTGTCTTTAGCTTGTAGCACCAGCATCTGGCGCAGCAGACGCACCATGGATCGCTGCGCTCGCGCGCGCGCTCGCACGTAATACACGCACACACTGCGCAAAAATATAATTAGTAAACATCAAGCTAATGCGAAGACAAGACTATGTTAGATAGATAATTATTTTATTTGACAGAAGGTACACATCAAGCAAATTTAAACATTAAAAAAATGCAAATGAAACACAAACAACTGCTTATTGTGCACCTCTGACAAAAATGGGTGCCTTGCTCAGCAAACAGAGACCGCCAGAGGCATGTCTCGAAACTGATTTTCATCGGGGGCCCATACCATAAAGACAACCAGACGCAGAATTGTCGATCGACAGCTGAAAGCTATTGTGAATGTGATAAGGTCCAGTTTAGCTTACCAGTGCTAAAGCCCGGTCTCCGAGCACGTAGAATTTTGTCCAATGACATCAAGGATCGCTCGCGTTTTCGCTTGGGGTCATTGGACCAAATTCTACGTGCTCGGCGACCAGACTATAGCACCAAAAACGCTACGGCACGTTACGAAAGCAAGCACGTTCCTCATAGTCAGCTACTTGTACTATTGTACTCCACACCAATAAAATAAGGTTTAGTCGCGCTTACCAGAGAATTAACATAAGGAACGCTACGGCACCCGGGCGCGTAATAAATGTACTCGTAGTCGACTACTCGGGCTATTGAACTCCACTCCTCGTAGTTAGCGGCTCCATCTATTATCTACTCTACTATCATGTAATAAGGTTCAGTCTCGCTTACCACAGAGCCAGCATAAGGAACGCTACAGCGCCGGGACGCGTAATAAATGCAAGCACGCGCCTCGTAGTAGGTCGCTCAGACAGCCGTAGCACGCCTTCACTGACCACTTCATAGACAAACGCGTACGAACGGAATGGCCCGCATTCTTGGGAGGATTTCCTGGAATAAATTAAGTAAAAAGACCAATATTATAAAAGTTAAACATAGCTCAACGTTATCGATGTCGGACTGGCTGACTCGAGATCGCTCGAGAGATGCTGTTTTGAACATTTTTGCCGACGAACTAATGTGGTGAATCAATCGTAACACAAGCAAATATTTATAGCAAGATAAGTTAACTCACCAGAAGAATAAGGAGCCGATGCCGAAAAGAGTGGTAAACAGCGAAAGGGTGACCAGCATGTAGAAAACTGTCTGCGTTTGCGCCGCGCGCCATACCTGCAATGAAGTCACGCGTTAATTGGGTAGTTATTACTGTTAAACGCATTTAATTAAACTATTAATTGATTGATTTCAAAACTATTCTACTGTAAGACAATGGAGGAGTTTGGTGGAAAATAGCGCTAGTAAGTAAAATGGCGTCCTTTTAGACAAAATAACAGTATTGCTAGGTCATTAGACCGAACCGATTGTAGATCACTGTCAGCGAGTTGTAAGCGATTTAGAACTCTGGCGTCTTGTCACTAAGATTCAATATCGAGTGCTAAGTATCAATACCACAGATATGGATTAGAGTAGATGCAGCAAGTTGATCGTCAAAGAGTGCCATTCCGATATGTCCAAATGGACATACATGGTCGAGTGATGTTCATGTAATCCGATTACAACAATCGGTTACGATGATTTTACGAGGACAGTAGTACGAACACGGTAGAAAGAAGAAATTATTTACGGATTGAGAATTGTAATTAACAGCACAAGTAACAAATAATTAATTAGAATAAAGTAGCAGTAGAAGAAGTATAAAGTAGCATTGTTTTTAATACATATTCTGCGATGTACTCTAAGAGTTAAAACCATGGTCCGTGTATGACCATGTGCACTCATAACGATCACAAGGAACCGTACTTACTTTTATAACAATAAGACACACACTGATCCATGTATTCATGCACTTGACCAATTTTTGTCTTGAAATGCTGGTAGGGTAAAAAAAATAACGAGATTTGACGATTTGTAAGAATGAATTTATTTAAAAAGGTAAATAAAGATATTTTTGGTTTTGTATTTAAGAAATTATCAGTTTTATCGGAATTAATTAATTGTCGAATCGAGTCACACGATATCTTTCGATGACTTTGCGAATGCAGTACGATGATACGATTATTTTTACGTTGCGGCAATCACTAAAATTCGCTAAAATGACACTAATGACGTTTAAAAAGTGGCACGCTCGGCTTCATACAATTTTTTTCACATGCTGCATCTATCTATATCTGTGATCAATACCTTCCTAGCCGGCTGGCAGGCTCGCAGCGCACAAATGCGCTTGACGTAGAATAAACAAAGCAGCTTCAGCGCTACCGCAACCACCAGTAGAGGCGCGAATAAAGCGCCGAACCACAGCGCTGCCTGGTTGTAGATCACCGTCAGCGAGTTGTAAGCGATGTTGAGCCCTAGCGCCTTGTCACTAAGGTTCAATATCGAGTGCTAAGGACTATTACCTTTCTAGCCGGCTGGCAGGCTCGCAGCGCACAAATACGCTTGACGTAGAATAAACAAAGCAGCTTCAGCGCCACCGCAACCACCAGTAGAGGTGCGAATAAAGCGCCGAACCACAGCGCTGCCTGGTTGTAGATCACCGTCAGCGAGTTGTAAGCGATGTTGAACTCTGGCGCCTTGCCGTTAGGGTTGAACCTGATGGGTGGTAGATTACATATTGAAACAAATTGGAAACATAAGGCTCTGCGGAAACGAGCCAGTGGCTGTCGCGCGCAACGTTTTTAACGCCCTATAAGCATAAGGTACCGCACAAACGAAGGTCGCCACTACTATAGTCTGGTCTGTGAGTACGTAGAATTTTGTCCAATGACCCCAATCTACCCATCCTTATCACTCGCGCGTAATTATGTTGCTGTCGCGCTCGCACACTCACTGCGGGCGCCCGTCGCACAGTCGCGGCAGCAATATAATTACGCGCGAGCGATAAGGATGGGTAGCTTGGGGTTATTGGACAAAATTCTACGTGCTCACAGACCGGGCTTTACACGTAAACGACTTGTCGTTAACAAATCAGTAACTGTGGTCGGTGACCAGTTTGTGCGAAGCCTAACGCCTAAACCTGAGGAGTAGCTGATAGAGCTAAACTCACGTTTGGCGAGTGTGGTGCGAGGTGTCGTGACAGCACTGTGACGTTTCTATAAAAAATAAGTGCCGTATCTGTGTGTAGGATAGGGTAGGCGTAACTACAAATACTAAAATAAAACCACACTCAAGCATAGGAACTTATAGGTAACTAGCTATGTACATTTTCGAATAGAGATGATATTTGCCCTCGCCTATTCCCGTTACGCCATGTTGGCATTCCTTTTCATGCAGCGACATTTACACTGTTAAGCGTCGTCAATAGAGAGGCCCAGCTCCTTCATGTCTCTATGGCGATATGCGACGATACTGTACTTCTTGGAGACCCCAAAAATCTTTCAAACTGTTATTCCACAGACCAATAAAAATGTGTTTTATGCTCACTTGGCTTATTCCAAGTGGGTTTTCTAATTTGACTAAGTTGGATCATCCGGTAAGATTCTGACGGTAATGACGTAGGTTTTTTTTTTCAGCCTTTTTCAGCCGATTCTTTCCTCAAAAACCGTAGCTCTTATGTACACATGATAAAAATCTTTTAAACTGTTATTCCACAGACCAATTGAAAATTAATTTCTTTAGGATTAATCAGGAAAGTTTACTTGATTATTATTTAAGGTTCAAAAAAAGCGGACAAATAATAAAAAAACTCACTTATGATAAAACAAAGCTCTCAGGCCTTCTACAACGGGCAGTACAAACAGCGACACGATCGCATCTAGCAACACCAGCCGGTACACCTCCTGCCCGAACGTCGTCTCCCAGCACTACTCAACAAAATAGAAAAAGCATGGAATCAAACACTGCAACAGAATAAAAACAGGTGTAACGTGGTAAGTAACAGGTGGTACGTACCAAAAACCGGCGTTACCACGTTCAAGGATTTGTATAATGGGCAGTGCAAGCTACGTCATGGGTGCGTGCAAAAATTACATTCAGTGGGATTTCCTATTTGACGTCACATCGTATTGGCCCTAATATGCACGGACCTTTATTGCCTTTTACTACGCAAGTCTCGGTTGTAGATTTTGTATATTAAAATGATTACAAAAAAACGACACTTCTGGCCATGGTGCATATGGCAATAAGTATGTTATTGAGTGTGTTAGGGTCTACAATTCTACATAGACTTACGTGATACATTGGCATCCGGTAATGCAATCCTCAGTCGTTGTGTTGTCAATTCATATTTAATCACTACGAAGGGGTTATTGTTATATTGCTATCAAAAAAGGTGACTCTAAATAGATGGAGATTTTTAAATCAAAACTAGTGTACCGATTATTATGAAACTTTACATCATGTACTATCGGTAACAGTGTTAACTACCCATTGTCGGTCATGTCATCTTGTTCTATTGCAAAGAATCACCATTTGATGAGAGCGAGAGCAAAAACGGATATGGATAGTTAACAGTGTGGCCGTGTGTACTTTATTGCACACCACACAATATTTAACAATCACAAGAAGGAACAGTTGGAAAGGAAACTACTTTTACCTCATTAGTTAACGGACGAAGTTGAATAACTTACGGGCGCGTCCGAGCGTGACCAATATCCAAGCAGCAGCATCAGGGTGCCAACATCCAGTAGCCACGTGCGAGCCAGCGTCACGTACACAGCTGTACGTGGTTCGTAGAACTCTAGCCTGTAGACAATAGAGGCAAACAAATTTAGACCTAATGGTCTGAGTCTAAAATTGTTTTTTGTAGAACTCCAGCATGCACATGACGGACTATCATTTTGGGGGAAACGATTATAGGCCTAACGGACTGGGAATTGTACTGACTATAGAGCTGTTTTTCGTAACTCCAGCCAGCACATAACGGACTATTAATGGGGCAAACGATTTTAGACCTAGCGCTCTGGGAATCATAAGTGTTCTCGAGCGCGACCAGTATCCAAACAGCAGCATCAGGATTCTAACATCCAGTAACCAGCGTCATGTACACAGCAATGCTTGGTTTGTAGAACTCTAGTCTGCACAGGAGTAATGAGGGAAACTATTATAGACCTAATTGTACTGTTTGCCGGGCGACTGCTCTTCCAACTGAGCTACTTAGACACTGGATGAATCTGTCGAAATTTCAAGTGTAATACGCTGTTATGGCCGCGTTTTATTTCATCAATGTTGGTCCCGCCTTAGGCAGTTCGACTTTTTCAAGTTGTTTATTTAAAATTTAGTTTGAGAAGCGACTCTATTCGCTAAGAAATTTTAATAATAATTGTACTGTCTTTAAAATTGGTTTTCGTAGAACTCCATCCTGCACTGGTCAGAGTAATGAGGAAAACTAATTTAGACCTAACGGTCTGGGTCACCACATCCCTTCCCACAACCTAAATCAGGTTCACTCGTGATTCCAGTCTGTTATCGCTACACGAAAACTTTTTTCTCCCAACACAGTTCATAGATTAATGACGGTATACCAATCAGAGGTGGAATTATGTAAAGCAATCGTTATCATTTGACAGTTCATAACGTACGATTATTCTGTCAAACGCTTTGTTTAACTGACTTTATCGTACGTTATTAACTGTCATATGATTACGATTGCTTTACACAATTCCACCTCTGATTAGTAGTAGAAGTTTGTAAATAAAAATAAAGATCATAATCTTAAAATCTTACCTTACAATCAGATTAAAGAGTAGCGGACACAAAGCGACAGCAGCGGTGATGATCACGGATATAATCACTTCCCAATTCTGAATTTTAACCTCAGCGCTCAACAACATCCACAGCCCATACTCCAGAGCGATTATAGACCCTATCACGACGGTCGTTACGATCACATTCGCCAGGTTCCGCCCGATGCGAGTGCAGAGCGAAGCCGATTCTTTGTTTTTGTTTTGTTCGCTGAGGAGTTCCTAAAAGAAATAGGTACTTTAGTTAATTTTTTGGGTTCTACTAATCATCATTATGGTCATGGTCATGATGCTTTGGGCTATTTTCGGAGGATATTAAGTATCACAACAAAAATAAATATAATTTGATTTTAATTGTTATTGCGATATTGTGGTTAAGAAGTGAAATTAATGGTATGGGCACACAAAGGCCGTTAGAACACTCGCTAAGAGATCAAACCTCTGTAATTATACTGTACAGTGTTGATCCCTCCATATTTCCTATGGCCATACCAACCTTACGAGTATATTTGGTCGAATCAGGGGAGGCACCTTATGCCATATACAACGTGTCCCAAAATTCAAGGATAAGCCGGCGCCGCAGGATGGACATACTCATGACTACTTTAGGAAAAATAAGAAAAATAATCTATCTTAATTATTTTTTAAGTTACACAAAAATTCTTCGAAAATTGACACCCCTTATGATATTTTACATTACCACGACCACTATTTTTTTAAATATTTCTGTTTTTTTTGTTTGTATCGGCAACTTAAATAGTGCTGCTGTCCACTCCAATTCTTAAAACCCCCAGAATCCTTGCAGTTTTTACACAAAAGTTAATCAAAATATGATATTTCCTTAAAATTTTGAACAATTTTTACTTTCACTCCACTTTGACTCGTCGTTTTGTAAAAAAAAAGTATGAACACTACTACGGCAAGTTTTTTATAAAGTTGACGCAACTATCCAAGATTCCAAAATGGTATAATACTCTAAGAAAACTAGTCGCAAAAAAGATATGCGTACCATTTTTACAAGCACTTCGCTTGTTAGTTAGTGTGGGACAAATCTTGCAACTGAATTTAAGACCAGTTCTCCTCAACCGATTGAGCTGAAATTTGGTTACATTATGTAAGTACGATGACGATGCATTATTACGGTACCATTGAGCTGGATGGAGTCTGGAGGTGACCATAGGAACTTCTAAACGAAACGGCTGAATCGCATCTAGTTTGGGTTCGTTGGATTTGTCTTTTCGAGCACTTTAGTGCTAGATGATATCCAGGATCCTGATAATGAGTCAAGAGGTGGCCAGGATCTGGCCAAAGGAACTCCTAAACGAAATGGCGGAAGCTTATCGAATTTGGGTTCGTTGGATTTGACTTCCCGAGCACTTGGACCATAAGATTGAGAAACAACTAAAAAGTGTAAAATAAAGTTATAATTTAAAAAAAAAAATTTAAAACAAGCATTACCTAATGCGAAATTTTAAGAAAGAATTTAACGATAAAAATAATTGTATGCAAGATTCAAATAATTTCGAAAGCTTGAAGCGCAAACAGAAAAAAAGAGGAATAACTTCCATGCGCGATTATAACTTTATTTTAAACTTTTTAGTTGTTTCTCAATCTCATGGCCCAAGCCCAAGCCTCGGGAAGACAAATCCAACGAACCCAAATTCGATAAGCTTCCGCTGTTTCGTTTAGGAGTTCCTATGGCCAGCTCCTGGCCACCTCTTGACTTCATCATCAGCACTCTGGACATCATCTAGCACTAAAGTGCACAAAAAGACAAATCCAACGAACCTAAACTAGATGCAATTCCGCCGTTTCGTTTAGAAGTTCCTATGGCCACCTCCAGACTCCATCCAGCTCAATGATACCATAATATTGCATTGTCATCGTACTTACATAAGTATACCAAATTTCAGCTCAATTGGTTGAGGAGAATTGGTTTTAAATTCAGTTGCAAGATTTATCCCATACTAACTAACAAGCGAAGTGCTTGTAAAAATGGTACGCATATCTTTTTTGCGACTAGTTTTCTTAGAGTATTATACCATTTTGGAATCTTGGATAGTTGCGTCAACTTTATAAAAAACTTGCCGCAGTAGTGTTCATACTTTTTTTTTACAAAACGACGAGTCAAAGTTGAGTGAAAGTAAAAATCGGTCAAAATTTTAAAGAAATATCATATTTTGATTAACTTTTGTGTAAAAATTGCAAGGATTCTGGGGGTTTTAAGGATTGGGGTGGACAGCAGCACTACTTAGGTTGCCGATACAAACAAAAAAACAGAAGTATTTGAAAAATTGTGGCCGTGGTAATGTAAAATATCATAAGGGGTGTCAATTTTCGACGAATTTCATTATTTATTGTGTAACTTAAAAAATAATTGAGACAGAATTTTTTTCTTATTTTTCCTAAAGTACCCATGACTATGTCCGCCCTGTGGCGCCGGCTTATCGTTGAATTTTGGGACACGTTGTATGCAGGTGGCATAAGAGTTCGGCATAAGGAGGGGTCTGACGCAAAATGTGCACTTCGCAATATGAGCATTTCGCGAAATGCGCATTTTCTATACTAATATTATACAAACAAAATCTTCAGCCTTTACATTTGTATAGAAAAGTGCGCATTTTTTGAAGTGCGCATTTCGCGAAATGCACATTCTGCGTCAGATCCATAAGGAGGTGCTAGCTGCCCGGTCCCATACTAGGGTGCCACCCGTTTTGAGTGAGGAGACTCTTCATTAGGGACATGGACGAAGCGAAGAGTTTATTTATTTATTTATTTAACGAATTAAGTTAACGAATTTGTAGGGAGTGAAATGGCGCGGTCGATTACAATCTACCAAAGGCAGCAGATCGCAGTTCATCGTGGGCAATGGGATATTATCTCTGTCTATTTATCTATCTAAAGTCCGGTCGCCGAGCTCGTAGAATTTCGTCCAATGACCCCAAGCTACCCATCCTTATCGCTCGCGCGTAATTATATTGCTGTCGCGACTGTGCGACGGGCAGACGCAGTGAGTGTGCGAGCGCGACAGCAATATAATCACGCGCGAGCGATAAGGATGGGTAGCTTGGGGTCATTGGACGGGATTCTACGTGCTCACGGACCAGGCTTTAGACTATGGCCTATTGTATTCTGTGATAAGCTGTAAATGTAACCTGTTTTGAGACAAATAAATACTTTCTATGTATCTACCTTGAGCTCGTTGTAGATGCTTGTAGCATTAAGCGCGGCGGCCTGGCGCGTGACGACGCCGAAGTCCCAACCACAGAACAGTTTGTTGGCCAGCGCGTGCGGCACACCGCCCGCCGTCTCGATGAAATTGCGCCGGTAAGAATACGCCGTCCTATTGGAATGCATTAACAACATTCAACTAATGTGACAACAGCATAACAGGCTATCACAGTCAGTAATTTAAATTATAGCTCTAGCGCTCAACTCAGTTCGTGCCTGAGCTATGGGAGCGGCACGAGAAGTGACATTGACATATTATGACGTGTATAAATCTGAAGAGAATCTGAAGTCTCACTGAGTTTACGTGACATTGGCGAAATCATGGTTCTCAATACCAAGACGTTGCCATAATAAAAGAAGAAGTCTCACTGATGTTTGACGTTACAAAAACACCCTCCCGTGCCGTTCCTATATCTCAGGCACTGACTGAGTGACGCTAGAACTTAAAATCTTATTTTTCACCCAACACAGTTCTATGGCGCAAAAAAAATTAAAGATTTGAATCGGCGCCGGAAAATTACTAATATTTTTTCAAATTGGCACTTGGTAGGCTGGCACCGACGCCGAAAGTATCAATATTGCTATATCTTTACAGCTTAATTTTACCTAATAAGAGTCTCTAAAATTTGCGCGGGTAAACCGAACGTGCGCCCGCTATCTCCTCGCGTGGAAACACGCGCACGCGTCTGCGCTATACTGCGCCGTTAACATTTTATTTATTGATTTAATAAATAAATATCCTTAGACATTTTACACTGCGCTTCTAGTCCCAAACTAAGCAAAGCTTGTACTATAGGTACTAGACAGCGGATATAAACATACTTAAATACTTTCTTTTTTGTAAATACATACTTATTATATATAGAAAACACCCAGTCTAATACAAACAAATATGTTCATGCACACACATGTTTGTACTGTGCGGGAATCGAACCCGCTACCTCCGGAATAGTAGTCCGTTTCGAACCACTACACCAAACGGCCGATTTAAAGACTTTATTGCACACACATAAGAATGATCCGTACAAAAAGGCGAGCTTAATTCCATATGGCATTCTCTCCAAGCTGACCTTGAGCAAAACAGAGAATACGACACAGGCGCCAAAACATCCAACTCGTGACTCCAAACTAACCTGTAGCACAGCACAGCGAAGACCACCAGGTAAAGACAGACCATGGTGAAGAAGTAGGCGAAGGGCATGCTGTAGGTCAGCGGCGAGCCTGCTGATATGTCTCCGGAGTGGTAGTGCCCGTAGAACAGGAGCGAGTCCTCGAAACTTCCCTGAAAAATATGAACAATTAGTTTTTCTAAATAATAGCAGTCTACTGTTGGACCTATGAAGAAAGCACATTCTTAATTTTTTTTATTCTAATTTATTTTTTTTCTAATCTAGCTATTTGAACCATCCAGTAGGACTTCTTGTAAAACAATAAGAGAAATCCATAGTATACTTATTTGCGCCACTACTAGGCGAGTGTGAAACGGATATAGATCGTTTCATCCACGAAGACGCGCCCCACCATTCGTCCGCTAATGTCTGAATGTTATCGGTACACGCTAAATTATCCATGAGTGCACACGCACACTACAATAATGTCACTCGGATTGCTCGGATCAAACTCCCCGCACCCCGCGCTTCCCTCAACCAAAAATTGGTGGGGTCGTGAACGAAACGATCTATAAAGCTGAGTTTAAAAGGATTTCCGGTAGCAAATATTTAATGACAATTTCAAAAGAGCGAGGTAAAAAACCTCATTCGCTGACTCATCAAGTTCAACTAAGTGCCTTACCTTTCCAGAAATGAAGTCCAAGAAGCTCCACTGAACTCCTGTACTATTAGCTCCGCTATCATACAACGCCTGAGGCACCACTACAAATCCAACCACGAAGACAGCCAGTAAGACGTCCAGCACGAACAGCCAGCGCAGGAAGTAGAAGTACGAGCCCACGGCCGAGCCGAAGTGGCCCTCAATGCTCCTGATGACTTCGTAACAGCTCGATGCTGACGTCACGAAGTGTGGACGTTCTCTGTCTAACCTTTCGGGAGATGAAGCAAATACTTCGTCTCCTATCTTCATCTTCCAAGCTCCATTACCCCGCAGTACCGTCAGCGACGCTCGATGGCTCGACGCTAAATGTCACAGAGTATGGGTGCGTTCCTTAAGTGTCACGAAGTGTGGACGTTTCCTAAGTGTCTTACCTTCCCTGAAATAATTTTTTTTTATGTGACAGGAGGCAAACGAGCGAACGTATCACCTGATGGTAAGTGATTACCGTCGCCCATAGACACCCGCAGTCTCAGGGGCGTTACAGGTGCATTGCCGTAGTCTATGAGGCTCCACTACTTCGCTCGTTAATGGTACTGCCATTAGAGACGCAATCTTACAGATGCTCCAAATCGCCAGTATCAGGGTTCGACGCTAAATGGCACGAGTATGGGTGCGTTCCTAAAGTGTCTTACCTTCCCTGAGATGAAGTCCAAGAAGCTCCATTGGACTCCTGTACTGTTAGCTCCGCTATCATACAGCGCCTGCGGCACCACTACAAATCCAACCACGAAGACAGCCAGTAGGACGTCCAGCACGAACAGCCAGCGCAGGAAGTAGAAGTACGAGCCCACGGCCGAGCCGAAGTGGCCCTCGATGCTTCTTATGGCTAGTATCAGCTCGATGCTGACGTCACGAAATGTGGACGTTCCCTAAGTGTCTAACCTTCCGGGAGATGAAGCATATACTTCGTCTCCTATCTTCATCTTCCAAGCTCCATTACCCAGCAGTACCGTCAGCGACGCTCGATGGCTCGACGCTAAATGTCACAGAATATGGGTGCGTTCCTTAAGTGTCACGAAATGTGGACGTTTCCTAAGTGTCTTACCTTCCCTGAAATAGTTTTTTTTTTATGTGACAGGAGGCAATCGAGCGAACGTATCACCTGATGGTAACTGGTAAGTGATTACCGTCGCCCATAGACATCCGCAGTCTCAGGGGCGTTACAGGTACGTTGCCGTAGTCTATGAGGCTCCACTACTTCGCTCGGTAATGGCACTGCCATTAGCGATGCCATCGTAAAGTTCCTCCAAATCGCCTCGTCTCACGGCTCGACGCTAAATGTCACAGAGTATGGGTGCGTTCCTTAAGTGTCTTACCTTCCCAGAAATGAAGTCCAAGAAGCTCCACTGAACCCCTGTACTGTTAGCTCCGCTATCATACAGCGCCTGCGGCACCACTACAAAGCCAACCACGAAGACTGCCAGCAGGACGTCCAGCACGAACAGCCAGCGCAGGAAGTAGAAGTACGAGCCCACGGCCGAGCCGAAGTGGCCCTCGATGTTTCTGATGACTTCGTAACAGCTCGATGCTGACGTCACGAAGTGTGGACGTTCCCTAAGTGTCTAACCTTCCGGGAGATGAAGCATATACTTCGTCTCCTATCTATCTTCCAAGCTCCATCACCCCGCAGTATCGTCAGCTCTTGCGATGTCGCTCGACGCTAAATGTCACAGAGTATGGGTGCGTTCCTTAAGTGTCACGAAGTGTGGACGTTCACTAAGTGTCTTACCTTCCCTGAAATAGTTTTTTTTTATGTGACAGGAGGCAATCGAGCGAACGTATCACCTGATGGTAAGTGATTACCGTCGCCCATAGACATCCGCAGTCTCAGGGGCGTTACAGGTGCGATGCCTTAGTCTATGAGGCTCCACTACTCCGCTCGTTAATGGTACTGCCATTAGCGACGCCATCATACAGATGCTCCAAATCGCCTCCTATCATGGCTCGACGCTAAGTGTCAGAGTATGGGTGCGTTCCTAAAGTGTCTTACCTTCCCAGAAATGAAGTCCAAGAATCTCCATTGGACTCCTGTACTGTTAGCTCCACTATCATACAGCGCCTGCGGCACCACTACAAATCCAACCACGAAGACAGCCAGTAAGACGTCCAGCACGAACAGCCAGCGCAGGAAGTAGAAGTACGAGCCCACGGCCGAGCCGAAGTGGCCCTCAATGCTCCTGATGACTTCGTAACAGCTCGATGCTGACGTCACGAAGTGTGGACGTTCTCTGTCTAACCTTTCGGGAGATGAAGCAAATACTTCGTCTCCTATCTTCATCTTCCAAGCTCCATTACCCCGCAGTACCATCAGCGATAGATGCTCTTGTCATGCCTCGTATCATGGCTCGACACTAAGTGTCAGAGTATGGGTGCGTTCCTAAAGTGTCTTACCTTCCCAGAAATGAAGTCCAAGAAGCTCCATTGGACTCCTGTACTGTTAGCTCCGCTATCATACAGCGCCTGCGGCACCACTACAAATCCAACCACGAAGACAGCCAGCAGGACGTCCAGCACGAACAGCCAGCGCAGGAAGTAGAAGTACGAGCCCACGGCCGAGCCGAAGTGGCCTTCGATGTTTCTGATGACTTCGTAACAGCTCGATGATGACGTCACGAAGTGTAGACGTTCCCTAAGTGTCTAACCTTCCGAGAGATGAAGCATATACTTCGTCTCCTATCTTCATCCTCCAAGCTCCATCACCCAGAAGTACCGTCAGCGATAGATGCTCTTGTCATGCCTCGTATCATGGCTCGACGCTAAGTGTCAGAGTATGGGTGCGTTCCTAAAGTGTCTTACCTTCCCAGAAATGAAGTCCAAGAAGCTCCATTGGACTCCTGTACTATTAGCTCCACTATCATACAGGGCCTGAGGCACCACCACGAAGGAGACCACGAAGACAGCCAGTAAGACGTCCAGCACGAACAGCCAGCGCAGGAAGTAGAAGTACGAGCCCACGGCCGAGCCGAAGTGACCCTCGATGTTTCTGATCGCTTCGTACCACAGCTCGATGCTGAATGTGAAGTCGCGCAGACGCTCGCGGAACTAACGACAAAAATAGAGAGTTAATTGATGATTTAGACTCAACATTATCGTTCGTTTCAGCCAAATGACGTCCACTGCTGGACTAAGGCCTCCCCCAAGGACTTCCACAATGACCGGTCTAGGCACCTCCCGCAACCCTCATTATCATCAGTCATTAAGTCTCTACTAAAGGAGCATGAATGAATTTTGCAAATGCAGGATTTAGCCTATACTCTGGTAATAACAGATCTTACAACGATCCCAAACTTCGAACTCCTATGTTCTTCTGATTAATTTCAATGCGTGTCGGATGACAATTTATCTTTCCCTCGGGAGAAACTTGACCTTCATTGGTTGGGTTTCTTTTAACAGCGGTCAAGCTGTAGATCCTGGCTACACAGAAATTGCAGCGATGAGAACGAGAGCTGGGATTAATGACGCACCCTAAACTGACAATGGCAAAAAACGCTAAAGTCACCAGTTTGCCCCATCTTGAAAACAGTAGAATTTATTTTCAGGCATATAGACAGACATAATAGTATTGTAAAAACCAGCGGTTGGTTATGAATTAGGTGTTGCTCACCCTTTTGACAGCAAACCCCATCCTATACTTGAGCCTCTTGGTCATGGATATGGGCCGCCTTTTGGATCTCAGGCTGACAGACGCGGAAAGCTTGGCTCGCACGTGCCTCTTCATGGTGAGACCTTGAGGCAGGTCTCGCAATGCTTCCCTGGAAGAAGAAATATATTCACAATGAGATCAGATCTACAAAGACATCTGGGCGTTGTTTTTAAATACGGTCCTTAGTTTTTGAATTGGAGATTTTTTTTATGCATAATAAGGCAGGTATTTGACCGCAATCGCACCTGGTCATCTGATCTATGCAGTTGAGGATGTTACATATCTGTCCTGTAAGTGCCTATTCACTCTCGCCTTGAAAATATGTCATGGTACTTGTAATGTATGCGAGTACGGATGGTGGGAAGGGTAATANCACGGGAACGGGAGTTAGCGGGAAAAAACATTTGTATGAAAAAATCTAAACCGCGTAAGATAGATGAAGGGGTAAAACGGGATCCACGCGTACGAAGTCGCGGGCGGCCGCTAGTGCTTAATAACAGGCGATACTAAAAAAATACATAAAATACCCAGAAAATGTCAATAAATAATAAAAACTCACATATTTTTTGACTTTTTTTATCGATAAAAATAGGTTTAGTAGTTCCGCCTATTTTCATATGTGCACTTTCTCAAGACTCATACTGTACTAGCGGCCGCCCGTGACTTCGTACGCGTGGATCCCGTTTTACCCCCTTCATCTATCTTACGCGGTTTAGATTTTTTCATACAAATGTTTTTTCCCGCTAACTCCCGTTCCCGTGGGAATTTTGCAATATCCTATTTTAACTAAGCTTTAAGTTTACTAACTTTAGCTTTAACTTTACCTGCATGCCAAATTTCAAGCGTCTAACTTAGGCGGTTTAGATTTTTCATACAAAAGGATTTTCCCGATAATTCCCGTTCCCGTGGGAATTTCGGGAATTCCTTGTTGAAACTAAGCTTTCAGTTTACTATGGTACCTACATGCCAAATTTCAAGCGTCTATCTTACGCGGTTTAGATTTTTTCATACAAATGTTTTTTTCCGCTGATTCCCGTTCCCGTTGGAATTTTGCAATATCCTGTTGTAATTAAGCTTTAAGTTTACTAAGGTACCTGCATGCCAAATTTCAAGCGTCTAACTTAAGCGGTTTAGATTTTTCATACCAAACGATTTTCCCGCTAATTCCCGTTTCCGTAGGAATTTCGGGAATTCCTTTCTTAGTGCACCTCTACGGTACCTAAGCTTCGTCCCTTCCAAATTTCAAGTACAGTCGCAGAATGAAAAGGTTCGTCACCTTAGTGTCGGTTTTCGCTTGCACTAGGTACTGTAAGAGTCAAACCTGCCAACATAACAGTGCAAGAAACAATGCTGCTAACATTTAAATAAATATGACGTTTGCTAACGAATAAGTGGGTCTAGACAAAGTGCAAATTATAATCGCAAACCAGTCGAAAAGTGGTTGAAAAGCCCCTTTTTTGTATGGAGTTTTGACGGATTCGATTTTCGATTCGATCAAAAAGTGCGTTTTGTCTAGGGGGGAAGGTTTTGCTTGTTTATTTTTCTATCCCATCAGTGCAATGCAATGATGACATTGACCAATTGACAATAGTTTTTTTTATTTAATAGAAATAATAATGGCAGGTTGAACCAACAAGAAGGTTTTAGTTTATCAATCATAATAATCTTCTTGACAAGATAAATCGTCAAACAACTTTGATCTGAATAATTTTGAACTTTACTGACAAACAGTTAAAGATTATTTTCTCTAAGTCGAGATTATTCTGTAACATAGTTTCAAAAGGTAATATGTGCTCGCGATTCGTTGAAGGAATCAATTTGAAAACTGACGAACCTTTTCATTCCGTGACTGTACATACGTTTAGCCGTTTAGGCTGTGCGTTGATAAATGTCACTAAGTCAGTCAGTTTCTCCTTTTATATATTTAGACTAGCGGCCGCCCGCGATTTCGTACGCGTGGATCCCGTTTTAGCCCCTACATCTATCTTACGCGGTTTAGATTTTTTCATACATGTGTTTTTTCCCGCTAACTCCCGTTCCCGTGGGAATTTTGCAATATCCTCTTGTAACTAAGCTTTGAGTTTACTAAGGTACCTGCATGCCAAATTTCAAGCGTCTATCTTACGCGGTTTAGATTTTTTCATACATGTGTTTTTTCCCGATAATTCCCGTTCCCGTGGGAATTTCGGGAATTCCTTGTTGAAACTAAGCTTTCAGTTTACTATGGTACCTACATGCCAAATTTCAAGCGTCTATCTTACGTGGTTTAGATTTTTTCATACAAATGTTTTTTCCCGCTTACTCCCGTTCCCGTGGGAATTGTGCAATATCCTCTTGTAACTAAGCTTTAAGTTTACTAAGGTACCTGCATGCCAAATTTCAAGCGTCTAACTTAAGCGGTTTAGATTTTTCATACAAAAGGATTTTCCAGCTAATTTCCGTACTCGTGGGAATTTCGGGTATTCCTTTCTTAATGCACCTCTACGGTACCTAAGCTACGTCCCTTCCAAATTTCAAGTGCTAAAGTAAACTATGAAGGGATATGTTTAATCATTAGTATAACATTAATAGCAGGGTTACCATCTGAAATCGGCTATTATTGGCTATTAATGGCTAATAACTGCTTTTAATCCGTAACTAGCCAATTGCTATTAATCGGATTATTAGCACTTACCCATCTCTACTCTGGCTGAGTGGGCGCGGGCGCTATGTTCGATTCCACAGACTGCTTCGACTGAGTGTTTGATTTTGTTGGGGAACTTATTGTTGTATTAGCATCTGAGCTCTCTGTTTTATTTTCAATCGGGAACGCTAAAGATTTTCTAGACCTACGTCTTAATTGGTCGATATGTCGGTGAATGTCGTTACCGTTATTATCTGTTATTGTATAATCAGTACTACCTAATGAGCTGCGAATTCTTCCCGGTTGCCATTTTTCTCCCTTCAAATACTGACGATACCAAACATCCTCCCCTACTTGCAAATTCCTATTCGCCCCCCCTGATGAATTTACCTGCAATTGTTGACTTTTTGTGACTTTGTTTTCTATGTCTGGTTTTAATAAGTCCAAATGAGTGCGCAGCCTTCTTCCCATAAGTAAAACAGCAGGGCTTTCACCTGTCGAGCAGTGTTCTGTATTACGATAGTAAAGCAAAAATTTATTTAATGATTTTAAAACATCAGATTTTTCAACAATTGATTTCTTGATCACACTTTTTAATGTTTTTACCGCATTCTCCGCGGCACCGTTCGACGCTGGGTGATAGGGAGCGGTAAAAATGTGATCAATTCCATCATTATTGAGAAAACACTCAAACTCTCTACTCGTGAAGGGCGGCCCGTTATCACTCACTACCTGTTTAGGAATTCCCCACCTAGCCCATAGTTCACCTAACCTATCTATTGTGGAACTAGCTGAAGTGCTGGGAACTTGGAACACTTCGATCCATTTGGACATCGCATCTATGACCACCAAGTAAGTTTTTCCCAGTATAGGCCCCATAAAGTCTAGGTGAATGCGAGACCACGGCCGGCGCGGCCACGGCCACGGGCGCGGCGCGTGCTGCGGCGGCGCGGCGGCGGTGGCGGCGCACGCGCTGCACGCGCGGCAGGCCCCCTCCACGGCCTCGTCGATGCCGGCCCACCACACATATGAGCGAGCCAGAGCCTTCGACTTGACGATACCCATGTGTGGCTCATGTATTATTTCTAACACCTTATCCCGGCACGCTTCGGGTATGACCACTCGATACCCCCACATTAAGCAACCTAGCTCCTCATATAACTCTGTTTTCCTATTAAAATACGGTTTTAACCCATCGATGTCACACTGGTCGGGCCAGCCGTCCCTAACGTAAGAAAGAACTCGACTTAAAATTCTATCCCTAATTGTTTCTCTCCGAATCGTATTATAATCTAATAATAAAGCCTCTTGAGCAAAATGTAAAAATGTTTGTTCCGGAATTTGTTCATTGCAATTAAATTCAGGCTTACTTTTCGGAGGTAATCTCGACAAACTATCCGCGCAGTTATCGTTACTTTTAACATAGGTACTCGATTTCGTAATCGTAAGCCGATAAAATTATTGCCCAACGTTGCATACGGCTCGCCGTCATGTTTGGTATTCCGGTATTAGGTCCGAAAATGGATACTAGAGGTTTATGATCGGTGCGTAATATAAATCGTCTACCATATAAGTACTGATGGAACTTTTTAATACAAAAAATGATGGCGAGCGCTTCCCTGTGTATTTGCGAATAATTCCTTTCCGCATTATTCAACGAGCGCGAGGCGAACGCGACGGGGCGCTCGCCGCGCGGCCCGGGCTGCGTCAGCACGGCGCCCAGCCCGCGCGCGCTCGCGTCGCACGTCGCTATCAACGGCTTGTCGGGGTCGTAATGAGCTAGGACACTTGCACCGGACAGCTGTTGTTTCACACTATTAAATGCTAGTTCACATTCCGAATCCCAGTTCCATTCTACACCCTTGCGTAATAAAGTGTATAAAGGAGACAACATGGGGCTTAAGTTTTTTACAAATCTCCCGAAAAAGTTTACGGTTCCCAAAAATGACCTCAGTTCGGGAACATTTTGAGGTTGTTCCATTTTAACAATTGCTTCTATTTTAGATGCATCTGGACGAGTCCCCTCCTTAGACACCACATAACCTAAATAAGTGACTTCCTTAGCAAAAAAAACACATTTACTTTTCTTTAACTTTAACCCATATGATTTTAACCGTTGAAAAATTGATTCTAAAGCCCGTAAATGGGCAGCCCTGGATCTCCCACCCACAATAATATCATCCAGGAACACTTGCACATTAGGTATATCGCACAATAAATTAGTCATAATCCGCTGAAATATACCTACACTCGATGCTAAGCCATATACTAACCTATTATAGCGAAATAGACCCCGGTGTGTATTTATAACAGTATATTTCTTAGAATCATCCAACTCGATTTGATTGTACGCTTGTGAAAGATCGATTTTACTAAAATATAAATTCCCATTTAAATTTACTAATACATCCTCTATTTTAGGAAGTGGGTAACGATCGACCAATAAAGACGGGTTCAAAGTAGATTTATAATCAGCGCAAATCCTAAGCGTACCGTCCGGTTTGTTAATCGGCACAAGCGGCGAGGCCCAGTCGGAGCAGTCCACGGGCTCGATGACGCCGGCGCGCAGCATGGCGTCCAGCTCGGCGTCCACGCGCTCGCGCAGCGCGTACGGCAGCGGCCGCGCGCGGTGGAACACCGGCGCCGCGCCCGCCCGCACCCGCAGCGTCGCGAGCCCGCCCGTGTACCGCCCCAGCCCGCCGTCGAATAGCTCCTTAAACCTGTCAACCAATTGAGCAACATCGTCATTGGGCTCACTCTTATTTGCTACATGGTGACAACTAAATAGTGGTACTTTAATTTTTAATTCGGCTAACCATTGTCTTCCTATTAGAGACGTTGTCCCTCCTCTAATTACAAATAATTCTAGTTCCTTACAATAGCCATTATAATATACTAAAGGTTTGACAATACCGAGTGGTTTAATTTTTGATCCATCGTAAAAGTTTAGTACAGTATTATCACTCTCAATTTTTAAATGAGAAAAGTATTTATCGTATGTAGATTTACTTATACATGATATGGCTGTGCCGGTGTCTATTTCCATTTCTAGAACAGTTTTATCTATTTGGATTGACAAACTTACTGATTTGTAGTCATTCAAGCATAAATGGTGTAGTTCTTCTTCGAGGTCTCCGCCGCACTCCTCGCTAGTTCCGCGATCGGCCTCCCCAAAGTACAAGCCACTACGGGCCTGCGCCATCCCCGCCGGCGCCAGGCCTTGCCGCCGGCCTGCGCCCTGCGACGCCTCCGATGCATTCCATCCTGGACACACTCGCCGCAGATGTCCGGGACGATGACACTTGCTGCACACATACTCCCGGAACCGACAGTCCGCATAGTTGTGATTACGTCCTCCGCAAGCGCTGCAGTTATAGTTATTCTGCGTAGGTTTTCGTTCAGTGTTATTATTCCGATACGGTGTTTTTACGCCTGAGCGTGCTCCTGCGCCGCTGTCGTGCCCGCCCGGCCGCTGGCGCGCGTATGATGACGTAATAGCATGCATAGCCTTTGTCGATGATCCCGCCTCCTCGACTATCGCCGCGTCTCGTTCCGCCGCTTCCAATGATGTTGCAAGTTTGACCGCCTCAGAAAATGTTACCGCATCGGTTTCCGCAAACAGCCGCTGTCGTATGATGTCGCTGTATAGCCCGCAAATGAATTGATCGCGTAAATTATCGTTCAATGTGTCTCCAAACTTGCAATGTTTAGATAAACTTCTCAGCTCCGCAACATAGGCAGACATGCTTTCGTTAGCGCTTTGTCGCCGTTGTCTAAAACGATATCTTACCGCCAAAATTGATGGGGTAGGTTGCAAATGTTGCGTCATCAATTCATTTACCTTCTGTAAATTTAACTCCGCGGGTTTTTTAGGGCTTGCTAAATTCTCCAATAGCTCGTATGCTTCGTCTCCGATAGTAGCTATTAAAATAGGAAGCTTCATCTCTTCATCCGTCTTGTTCACTTTGAAATACATTTCCAAACGGTCCATGTACGACGACCACACTCCGCACTTCACGTTGAACTCATTTAACTTTCCGATGGACATTTTTGCACTTTACGGTTCGAAATAGTTCGTCGCCAATGTAATGTATGCGAGTACGGATGGTGGGAAGGGTAATAGCCTGGTATCCGGGAATAGGGAGCCGAAGAAATGAGACGCGTGTTACTCTAATGACGATTTATTCCAGACTGCTTGGCCCTATGTACAGAATATGTTAATCTACCCTATTTACTTAAATATTAATTGTTAGTAACCTACCTACATTACACTATTTAGATTTGTTTTATCTTTCAGGGAAACAAGAAAAATAAAACAGCAAATACAAGCGAAAGGATTAACGAACTGAAGTGCGAATTCAGTGCTTCAGAGCTACGTTAGTAATACGTCGTTCGAGGAACTTATCTGAGGTGTCAATTCTGGAGCAACCTGTAAAAAACACAATGCTTTATTAATATTTCTCAAATGATACGAGAACACAAAAATACAATCATATTGAAATCTATATTTCTAGGAAGAAGGTAAATGTAAATTTTTGATTGGACTTGTACATTTTTCTCCAACAAAAAGAACTCTTCAGAGCCACTTGCAGAACGAAGATGTCTTTACTTATATCCAGTGGGTCCTAAATAAATAATTTGAGAGTTGAGTTCCGGAAGTAGCTGATTTTCGATCTTGTTGCCATGTTGCGTCCTGAATCAATATTTTATTGCAGAAAATATTTGAAATTAATCAATGATGGGATAAAAAAAAACATTATATTTTCGAGGTTATTGGTAAAATATTTTATATAAACGTTTCCACCGTGATCAATTAAGGTTATTCAAGGTAAAATATTAGTATAAGATTTTAAACTTACATGTTTCGGCTGCTACACTGCAGCCGTGGTCGCAACGCAGCAGCATAGCAGCCGAAACGTCAAGGCATGAGTACATAATGTAACTCAAATGTCGCGTTAAAATCCGTGTCTTTATTTAAAAAGATTAGTACCTATTAAAAAGCATTTGGAAGTAGATTTTACAAACATTTTGTCCAGTGTTTTTGTGTTAAATGAGTGTTTTTGTGTTAAACGATTTAACTATTACACTCGATGAACTTCATCGCCGATAAAACAAAAAAAAATCGCAATTATCTTGCCCTCTCTGCTAACCCCTGCTAAATACCAGCCTTCGACAACTCCACAAATATGAACTCGGGATAACACCTGTTCAATGAACAAATATTTATACTGGAATTATCTGCAGGGCTACTCCCAAACGATGTTTACGTAGTTTCGGGTCTATCTGTCACCGTCGCTCATGCTGGCATCTCGCTTTGCGTGAGAGGGATGGCAACATTCGAAACTACGGATAACGTTTTTCAGAGTAAGCCCACTGGAGTCTGTAAGCCGCAACCCTCCTAAGGTCGGTCTACACATAGGTACCTACCACCTAAGTTACATGATGAATTTCTTTGTACTTCGACGTGCTATATGATTTGGACACTATGGAACTTGAAAGGCGGTTTTATATTTGCTTTTGATAAATAGAAAATAATTAATCCATCTGCCTAAGAGAATCTGAAATTGTAGCTTAGAAATGCTAAGATATTTCTAATTGCGGAGTTCTGCACCAAGGACAGTCTACCATCTCAGAACAATTTGTCTTCTGAAAGATTACGAAGTAATCGCACTTCGATGGACAAACTTTCTAAAATGAATTAAGTATTCAGCATTTTGAGACGGTCTTAAGTTGGGCTACCAACTTTGCTGGTGGCAAAACAGACTAGAGAATACATAATTGTTGTTATCCTTACAATCCTCGAGTGATTCCAAGCGGAAAGTTGATGATACTAAAGACATGCGGATGACAGTGAATTAGAACTGTCGAAAATTGAATCAGATTAAAATTAATTGATTTTTGTTTTTATACACCTGTGTGCCTACCATGAGTTTACGTTAGGTGAGCTCGCTAGCGAATACGTCAAAAAATTCTATGAAGATTTTATTTCTTGAAAGTAGCCGCTAGGGGCGCTGCACAATTATGTCATACATTTAAATGTATGACATAATTGTGCAGCGCAGTCGCTAGCGAGCACACCTAACGTAAACTCATGGTAGGCACACTGATCTGAAACAACTATGTATTGTATTTTGGTA